ATAAAGGGTATCATTGAAAACATCAAAGTCAGTATTATTCCCTACAGCATCACAAACAAGACAAGTAGACTATGACTACTTCTATTCACTGTCCTAATGGAGGGCCTAGGATCAAACCAGGAAAGGCAATAGATATATTAAGTTTGAAAAGGAGAAGTAAAACTATTTTTATTTAGAGATCATAAGTTTGTATATGTAGAAAATACAAAGTACCTCTAAACAAGCTGTTTAAGAACTAGGACCTAATAGTGCATTGATACAGTCACTAAACACAAAAAATCAATTTTCTTTCTAGATTCTAGCAAAAGCATTAGAAAATGCAACTAAAATGTCATTTATCAAATGCTTTGGAACTAATTTATTATAAGGTATGCAAGACCTCTTCTTGATTTCTCTCCAGTAACTCTAGAATAGTTTTGATTTGGGAGAAAAAAATCACAGATCATTTTAGGGAGATGAGAAATGTCGTCACTTCTGAGGTCTGGGGTAACTAACATAAATCATGGCCTGGTATTCAGTGGTGACCACTCCTTGCCACCTACAGACACTGATATCAGGAAAGACTATTTCCTAAGGCTGCTCAATGAAATAGTGTTTTCAAAACCCCAAACAAGAGGTTGGTACCATCTATTTGGCTGTTGAATTGAATCTGTTCTCATATTGACAGGTATCCAGCTCTGTTCTGGCCATTTCAGGGCATAATTAATTCCCTGTATTCACATTTTTCTTAACCCAGTTAACTCTAGCTCTGGATTTGATCCTGGGTATTTATATCAATTAAGATAAAAAAGTTATATGAGATAAAAGATAAAATTGTTATGTCTATAAGTAGTCCTGCTTCCCAGGTGGCTCAGTGGTAAAAAGTCTGCCTGCCATCCAGGTGGATTATTTTTATTTACACATCATATGTTTGTATATGTAGAAAATACCCTTGCATTGGGAAGATCCCCTAGAGATGGGAATGGCAACCCATTCATTTTCTTGACTGGGAAGCCCACTGATAGAAGAGTCTGGTGGGCTGCAGTCCATGGGGTCTCAAGGAGTTGGACACGACAGAGACTAAACAAAGCAATGAGGCATGTCCTCTACAAAAATCTTAACATTAATGAAAGAAATTAGAGAGGACATAAATAAAGAGGCTATGGATCCAAAGACTCCATATGTTAAGATGTCAATTGTCCCAAATCAATTCATAAATTCAACACAATCCCAAGCAAATTGCCTCAATCTCTTGTGGTAGAAGCTATTCTATTATTTATATGGAAGTGCAAAAACCTAGAATAAGCCTTGAATAAGACAAAGAAAGCATCTCTTGCATTTCCAGATTTCAAAACCTGTATGAAGCCCCAGTAATTAAGATAGAATGGTCTGTTGGTATGAGGATAAAATAAAGTCAATAAACAGAATCAAGTCCAAAAAGAGGTCATAATGCATGTGTCATCAATTTTTTTTTTCTCTAAAGGTGCCTATGCAGCTCCATGGGCTTTCCCCTGTGGCTTAGCTGGTAAAGAATCCACCTGCAATGTGGGAGAACTGGATTCAATCCCTGGGTTGGGAAGATCCCCTGGAGAAGGGAAAGGCTACCCACTCCAGTATTCTGGCCTAGAGAATTTCATGGACTGTATAGTCCATGGGATTGCAATGAGTTGGACACGACTGAGTGACTTTCACTTTCACTTTTAAAGATGCCTATGCAGCTCCATGGGGGGAAAGTTGGTCTTTCTAGGACAATAGCTAGAATAATTGGCTATTTGTATTTTTTGGAAGTACCAGTGTTTTGTAGCTTTCTGTGTATAAGTTCTGTACATGTTTTCTTAGATTTATGCCTAAGGATTTAGGGTCTTTCTTGAGCCATTGTAAACAGTATTATATTATTAATTTAGATATCCACATGTTTAGCTAATATATAGAAATGCACTTGATTTTGTGTTTACCTTATATATCCTGAGACCTTCTGAACTAATTTACTGGTTGTAGGAGTTTTGGAGGGTATATTCTTTGGGATTTTCTACATAGATAGAAAATAGTGGTAATTTGACTGCCTTTCTGGCTTCAAAGACCGTTTATATGTTTATTTGCTTTACTGCACTGGCTACAATGTCCAGCTCTGTGCTGAAGGAGAGTGATTAAAGTGGATATTCTCCCTTTGTTCCTTCCCTTAGGGAAAAGTGTAGAGTCTTTTTACTAGTAAACATGCTAAGAGCTGTTGAGGAACTTCTCCATTATTCCTGTGTTTCTTAGTTTCACCATGGTTGAATACTGGATTTTGGCAAATGCTTTTTCTACATTGCTGCTGCTGAACTAGCTCATCTTATTGTTGACTCACAGCTCCTCCACTTCCCATTAGAAGTCCTCCTCATCTTCTTTGTCTTGGGCCAAGTATGCATGTAGCATGATGGCAAATGACAGCCACTCCTCTTCAAGGTCACCCAGTATTGTGAGACTGAAGGAGGTGAAACAGACAAGTCTTTGTGGGTTCCAAACATCCTCAGAGTTTAAGTATGACTTTATGTGTCACAGTTTGTCCATGCTTTCAACCTCATCAATTTTTCCTTTCCAAATGTTACTCTAAGCTCACTTAAAGTGAATTAAGGCTCAACATCAGATATATAATTAACAGCTTTGTACAGACTTGTCCACCAGTTCTAGCCATTGCCTGAGTTCTAGTCCTTATAACTAATCTCTTATTCTATATCACTCAGGGTTCTGCTTTTCTGATTGTGCCCTGACACAAAGTCTAAGAGGAAGTGACTAAGCAAATGGTTTTGATGGTGACTCCACACAACTAGACCCAGGTTTGTGATGAAGTAAAACTGCTAGTTTAAAGTATTATGGAGGAGTATATCTACTTAAAGAAACAAAAGACCTATACATAGAAAACTATAAAACACTGATGAAAGAAATCAAAGAGGACACAAACAGATGGAGAAATAACCGTGTTCATGGATTGGAAGAATCAATATTGTCAAAATGACTATACTACCCAAAGCAATCTATAGACTCAATGCAATCCCTATCAAGCTACCAACGGTATTTTTCACAGAACTAGAACAAATAATTTCATAATTTGTATGGAAATACAAAAAACTTCAAATAGCCAAAGTAATCTTGAGAAAGAAAAATGGAACTGGAGGAATCAACCTGCCTGACTTCAGACTATACTACAAAGCCACAGTCATCAAGACAGTATGGTACTGGCACAAAGACAGAAATATAGATCAATGGAACAGAAAGCCCAGAGATAAATCCACGAACCTATGGACACCTTATCTTTGACAAAGGAGGCAAGGATATACAATGGAAAAAAGAAATCCTCTTTAACAAGTGGTGCTGGGAGAACTGGTCAACCGCTTATAAAAGAATGAAGCTAGAACACTTTCTAACACCATACACAAAAATAAACTCAAAATGGATTAAAGATCTAAATGTAAGACCAGAAACTATAAAACTCCTAAAGGAGAACATAGACAAAACCCTCTCCAACATAAATCACAGCAGGATCCTCTATGACCCACCTCCCGGAATATTGGAAATAAAAGCAAAAATAAACAAATGGGACCTAATGAAACTTAAAAGTTTTGCACAACAAAGGAAACTATAAGCAAGGTGAAAAGACAGCCCTCAGATTGGGAGAAAATAATAGCAAACGAAGCAACAGACAAAGGATTAATCTCAAAAATATACAAGCAACTCCTGCAGCTAAATTCCAGAAAAATAAATGGCCCAATCAAAAAATGGGCCAAAGAACTAAACAGACATATCTCCAAGGAAGACATACAGATAGCTAACAAACACATGAAAAGATGCTCAACATCACTCATTATCAGAGAAATGCAAATCAAAACCACAATGAGGTACCATTACACGCCAGTCAGGATGGCTGCTATCCAAAAGTCTACAAGCAATAAATGCTGGAGAGGGTGTGGAGAAAAGGGAACCCTCTTACACTTTTGGTGGGAATGCAAACTAGTACAGCCGCTCTGGAGAACAGTGTGGAGATTTATTAAAAAGCTGGAAATAGAACTGCCATACGACCCAGCAATCCTACTTCTGGGCATACACACCGAGGAAACCAGATCTGAAAGAGACGCGTGCACCCCAATGTTCATCACAGCACTGTTTATAATAGCCAGGACATGGAAGCAACCTAGACCCATCAACAGACAAATGGATGAGGAAGCTGTGGTATATATACACCATGGAATATTACTCAGCTGTTAAAAAGAATTCGTTTGAATCTGTTCTAATGAGGTGGGTGAAACTGGAGCCCATTATACAGAGTGAAGTAAGCCAGAAAGATAAACACCATTACAGCATACTAACACATATATATGGAATTTAGAAAGATGGTAATGATAACCCTATATGCAAAACAGAAAAAGAGACACAGATGTACAGAACAGACTTTTGGACTCTGTGGGAGAAGGCGAGGGTGGGATGTTTTGAGAGAACAGCATCGAAACATGTATATTATCTAGGGTGAAACAGATCACCAGCCCAGGTTGGGTGCATGAGACAAGTGCTCGGGCCTGGTGCACTGGGAAGACACGGAGGGATTGGGTGGAGAGGGAGGTGGGAGGGAGGATCAGGATGGGGAACACATGTGGATCCATGGCTGATTTATGTCAATGTATGACAAAAACCACTACAGTATTGTAAAGTAATTAGCTTCCAACTAATAAAAATAAATGGAAAAAAAAGAAAGTATTGTGGGACAAGTTTTCAAATCTAGACAACTTTACACATGTTCTGTATGGTTGACTTAAAGTCAAAAATTCAAGAGGAGAATGTATTTGTAGAAAGTTACTCTGGACACCTGTTTCCAATGACATAGAAGGAGGCTTTATCTAGAATTAAATCTTCTGATCCAGACCACAACTTAAAGAAACCACAGGATTGTCATTTCTTGTCTGGGGTCTGTGGGTGTGAACTTCAGCTGGGGTCCTGCAGCAGGGGGGCTCTCTCTTATCAAGCTCTGGGTTTTTGTACAGCTTTTCCAATTACTTCAAGCACTGTGAGCTCACGGAGAGCACAGAAGTACTTTGCAGAATCTTCCAGCTCTAAGGATGAAATATTGAGTCTGATGGATTTATCTGCTTTCCAGAAGTTTACAGAGTAGCGGCCATTCCTTGCATTACTGTCTTCTGAATACTGATGAATAAGGTAAGTCATCTGCCCACTGGGGAGTTGCTTGTACCAAACAAGGTAGTAATAGCTCCAACTTGTTTCATACTGACAATTCAGGGTGACTGACTGCCCCACTTGACTGGATATATCTGGCTGGTCTTGAGTAACTTTTTGGGCCATACCAGATGCTGTGGGGAAAAAAATCAGAAAACAAAGATGAAGCAGTGAATAAATAGTGTAGAAGTTATGTAGGACCCAAAGACAAAAAAATGGAAATCATAAGATGCTTGCTTGCTTTTCTCCATCTTTCCTTTCCTCCCCAAGTCCCTGTGAAGCACCATGTGTCTATGTGCAGACCTTTCACCCTGAATACTCTCACCCACGTTTGACAGCATCCCTACCAGAGAAGGTGAAGGCCAGAAACACCCAGAGCAGACTGGAGAACGGCATGAGGCATGGATTTCCCTGAACAAATGTGCTCAGTTCTGCCTCAAGCTGAGCGTTCAGTGTCTTTGAGTGCCCGACAGCACATATACATACTACCCAGAACCTGCGTGACTCCCCGCAACAGGAAGTGGGAGGTGTCATGTTCATACACCACGTGGTCTGTGCACACATGGGAAAAAGTCTGGCTCACCATAAACCTTTGCTTTGTCTACGTGTTTTTCCCTGGTCATTAAATCAATCAGATCCTGAAAGAAGGCATAAAAAAAGCAATCAGTATTAAAATTTAAGCTGAGGGGAACTGAATATTAAGCAGGTTAACATACATTGATAATCATTCAGCAAAATGGTTTTTCCAGCTGGTTTAAAATATAATTTAGTATAGCCTATGAAATGTTCTGTTATCTATTAACTGGTCATTTATTTAGCCTATACTTACTTTTCTCCATCCAGAGTCTAATGACTCTTTAAGAAAACTTGCAGATCTTAGGCTTCTTGGTGAATGAAAATTTTATTCAAACTAATTATTGTATTTCTTTGTCTTTGTATTGAGTTCTATGACTCTATTTAGGTTTATCAATAAATAAAGTTCAGTCAGTCAGTCAGTTCAGTTGCTCAGTCGTGTCCGACTTTTTGTGACCCCATGAATCGCAACACGAGAGGCCTCTCTGTCAATCACCAACTCCCGGAGTTTAATCAAACTCGTGCCCATCGAGTCGGTGATGCTATCCAGCCATCTCATCCTCTGTCGCCCCCTCTTCTCCTGCCCCCAATCCCTCCCAGCATCAGGATCTTTTCCAATGAGTCAACTATTCACATCAGGTGGCCAAAGTACTGGAGTTTCAACTTCAGCATCAGTCCTTCCAATGAACACCCAGGACTGATCTCCTTTAGGATGGACTGGTTGCATCTCCTTGCAGTCCAAGGGACTCTCAAGAGTCTTCTCCAACACCACAGTTCAAAAGCATCCATTTTTCGGCGCTCAGCTTTCTTCACAGTCCAAATCTCACATCCATACATGACCACTGGTAAAACCGTAGCCTTGACCAGACGGACATTTGTTGGCAAAGTAATGTCTCTGCTTTTTAATATGCTATCTAGGTTGGTCATAACTTTCCTTCCAAGGAGTAAGCGTCTTTTAATTTCATGGCTGCAGTCACCATCTGAAGTGATTTTGGAGCCCCCCAAAATAAAGACTGACACTGTTTCCACTGTCTTCTCATCTATTTCCCATGAGGTGATGGGACCAGATGCCATGATCTTAGTTTTCTGAATGTTAAGCTTTAAGCCAGCTTTTCCACTCTCCTTTTTCACTTTCATCAGGAGGCTTTTTAGTTCCTCTTCACTCTCTGCCATAAAGGTGGTGTCCTGACAGAATGTGGTCCTCTGGAGAAGGGAATGGCAAACCACTTCAGTATTCTTGTCTTGAGAACCCCATGAACAGTATGAGAAGGCAAAATGATAGGATACTGAAAGAGGAACTCCCCAGGTTGGTAGGTGCCCAATATGCTACTGGAGATCAGTGGAGAAATAACTCCAGAAAGAATGAAGGGATGGAGCCAAAGCAAAAACAATACCCAGTTATGGATGTGACTGGTGATAGGAGCAAGGTCCGATGCTGTAAAGAGCAATTTTGCATAGGAACCTGGAATGTTATGTCCATGAATCAAGGCAAATGGGAAGTGGTCAAACAAGAGATGGCAAGAGTGAATGTCGACATTCTAGGAATCAGTGAACTAACATGGACTGGAATGGGTGAATTCAACTCAGATGACCATTATATCTACTACAGTGGGCAGGAAAACCTTAGAAGAAATGGAGTAGCCATCATGGTCAACAAGAGAGTCCGAAATGCAGTACTTGGATGCACTTTCAAAAACAACAGAACGATCTCTGTTCGTTTCCAAGGCAAACCATTCAATATCACGGTAATCCAAGCCTATGCCCAAACCAGTAATGCTGAAGAAGCTGAAGTTGAATGGTTCTATGAAGACCTACAAGACCTTTTAGAACTAACACCCAAAAAAGACGTCCTTTTCATTATAGGGGACTGGAATACAAAAGTAGGAAGTCAAGAAACACCTAGAGTAACAGGCAAATTTGGCCTTGGAGTACGGAATGAAGCAGGGCAAAGGCTAATAGAGTTTTGCAAAGAGAAAACACTGGTCATAGCAAACACCCTCTTCCAACAACACAAGAGAAGACTCTAGACATGGACATCACCAGATGGTCAACACCGAAATCAGATTGATTATATTCTTTGCAGCCAAAGATGGAGAAGCTCTATACAGTCAGTAAAAACAAGACCACGAGCTGACTGTGGCTCAGATCATGAACTCCTTATTGCCAAATTCAGACTTAAACTGAAGAAAGTAGGGAAAACCACTAGATCATTCAGGTATGACCTACATCAAATCATAAATAAAGTTACTTCAGTATAAATGACAAAAAATCAGTCCATCTGTCTTTCAGAGTCTATTCAGTTTTAAATTTTGAATGAAATTATAACAGGAATAAAATATTCTTTTGAAATTTGAAATTAAGTCTTATTTATTAGACTTTGAGGAAGATCAGGATATTCAGTCCTGTTCCTTCCACAAGTAGAATTGTATTTATTAGATCATGTGTCCTAGAATTGTCCTGATGTCACATTTTCTATGTCATTGGTCCAAAGTGTTCAGTCTCACTTGTTAGCGGCTCATTATTTATGTCTTTGTAAAATAAATTCAAGATAAGTATGTCAAGTCTTTCTGTGGCATAATGCCGTAATGCTCTCCTATAAAAGCTGGTATCTACAGGTTTCAAACACTTTGTTGTTGTTGTTCAGTTGCTAAGTTGTGTCCAACTCTTTTTGACCCCATGGACTGCAGCACATCAGGCTACACTGTACTTCAATATCTCCCAAAGTTGCTCTAATTCATGTCCATTGAGTCAATGATGATATCTAATCATCTCATCCTCTGCTTCTCCCTTCTCCTTTTGCCCTCAATCTTTCCCATCATCAAGGTCTTTGCCAATGAGATGGCTCTTCGCATCAGGTGGCCAAAGAATTGGAGTTTCAGCTTCAGCATCAGTCCTTCCAGTGAATATTCACAGTTGATTCCTATTAGGATTGACTGGTTTGTCTTCCTTGCAGTCCAAGGGACTCTTAAGAGTCGTCTCCAGTACCACAGTTCAAAGGCATCAATTCTTCAGCTTTCAGCCTTATTTATAGTCCAACTCTTACACCACACATGACTATTGAAAAAACCATAGCTTTGACTATACAGACCTTTGTCAGCAAAGTGATGTCTATGCTTTCTAATATGTCATCTTAAGCTTCCTAGGTGGCACTAGTGGTTAAGAACTTGCCTGCAAATTCAGGAGACATAAGAGATGTGGGTTCAATCCCTGGGTCAGAAAGATCCCCTGGAGGAGGGCATGGCAACCCACTCCAGTATTCTTGCCTGGGAAATCTCACGGACAGAGGAGCCTGGAGGGCTACGGTTCACAGGGATGCAGACCCGGACATGACTGAAGCGACTTAGCCCACCTGCAGGTTTGTCAGATCTTTTCTTCCACGGGGCAAGCATCTTTCAATTTCATGGCTGCAGCCACTGTCCATAGGGATTTTGGAGCCCAAGAAAATAAAAAATCTGTCATTGCTTCTATTTTTTCCCCTTCTATTTGCCATGAAGTAATGGGACCAGATGCCATGATCTTAGATTTTTGAATGTTGAGTTTCAAGGCAGCTTTTTCACTCTCCTCTTTCACACTTATCAGAAAGCCCTTTCAGTTCCTCTTCATTTTCTCCCATTAGTGTGGTATCTTCTTTGTATCTGAGGTTTTTGATATTTCTCCCAGCAATCTTGATTCCAACTTGTGATTCATCCAGCCCAGCATTTCACATATTAAAGTTAAATAAGTTAAATAAGTCATATAAGTTAAATAAGCAGGCTGATAATGTAGAGCCTTGAAAGACTCCTTTCCCAATTTGGAATCAGTCCATTATTCCATGTCTGGTTCTGACTACTGCTTCTTGACCTGCATACAGGTTTCTCAGGAGAAAAGTAAAGTAGGCTGGTATTTCCATCACTTTAAGAATTTTCCATAGTTTGCTGTTATCCACACAAAGTTTTTAGCATAGTCAATGAAGTAGAAGTAGATGCTTTTCTGGAATTCCTTTGCTTTCTCCATGATCCAATGAATGTTAGCAACTTGAACTCTGGTTCCTCTGCCTCTTTGAAACCCAGCCTGTACATCTGGAAGTTCTTGGTTCACACACTGCTTAAACCTAGCTTAAAATCTTTTAAGCATAACCTTACTTTCATGTGAAATGAGCACAATTGCATATTAGTTTGAACAATCTTTGGCATTGCCCTTCTTGGAACTAGAATGAAAACTGAACTTTTCCAATCCTGTTCAAACACTTAGTATGTGTCAATACCACAGAAGTTGATGATTGAAGTTTTGTATACTGTGCATGATCATGAAGTATGTATCTCTCAATCTTCCACTTAGTTTCATCATCTTAATAGATGAATTAATTTAAAAGAGCCAAAAGCAAATAAGCAGGTAGAAAAGGAAGTATAGACACAGTTTCCAAAACAGTGCTAGTTCTTAAAATTTAAGTTTAAAAGAACTCATTAATGAGTGATGCAGGAAGGAGAGTTTGTATGTAGTTGAACCATTTACTCTTCTGTCCCATTTCAACTCTGAATGACAGACAGCTGATGTCCTGGTTTCTATTATTTACAAGGAAGCA